CCCCAGGAAACGCCCTTGTCCCTACAGAAGCCTCACCTACCCTGTGACCTTCACCGCCACGTGAATTCACTCTCTGGACAGGATAGAGAATCCAGTCAAGTTCCTCGGCAAAACCTTCTTCTAAACTGACGCACTTGGCTTGTGCCTCATAGCCATTCTAGGACTCTACCCAGCAGTGATGATGTTCATCATTTCAGTATGCCCGTAACAAGAACCCTTCTCCACCAGAGCCTTTCCCCAAGGAATGCTTCCTAAGAAAATAGCCACTTCTTAGCATCGTGTCAGCTCGTTCTTTGCTTCCTGTCTCCAAGACTGCTTGTCATTGGAAGGTTCAATCACTGCCATCGAGTTGATTCCAATTCACAGAAACGGGGTAGATCCGGCCCTGTGGGTATCTGCGCCTGTAACTCTACAGGAGTAGAAAGCTTCATCGTTCTCCTGCAGAGGGGCTGGTGGTTTCGAACCGCTTACCAATGCGTCACCACCAGAGGTGTAAAACACTAAGCACCTGAAGAGTTTAAACACTTCAAGTCCCATACCAGCACCTCCAAGCTCTTTATCCTAACCTGGCCTTTGCTTTTCCCGGTTTCCATTTCCTGTTGCTATATTCCTCCAAAAAAATAAGGAAGGCATAGGTTCCCGAGGTTATGTGGCCCACCATCCCCGTTTCAGGAAAAAAACAAACTACTCAGCACCCCCACCACCACCCCCGGCAACTCAAAATGTTTGTACTGTAGTCTGTAATCCAGGATCAAGTGTAGTGACCTGCTTTCACAGCGCCCAGGTCTTTGTAGCGCCCTGGAGGGGGCAGTATCACCCACTTTGGGAAACACTGAGCCAAGGGATTTACATAGTATATCCTTAACTCCCAAATCATCTGAGGGCTGGAACCACGTCCATATATATATATCTATCCACATCACTGAGTCCTAGTTTTTTTAATTCCAAGTTCAAGTACAGCACAGCTTAGTTTTAAACTTCACACCATAAATATTTATCTTAGGTCTGCTGAAGAGTCCACTCTAAGAAACCAGCTTGGTCTCTGGAGCCATTGGTTGGTTTACACTTTTTGCTGCCACTAACCATGCTGGACTGAACATTCTGGGCGATATGTTTTTGATCCTGAGCCATTGTTTCCATAGGGCAGAGCTCTACAGGTGAGAGGTGGGGGTACAAGATGGGGGTACCCATGAGTCGACTCAATGGCTGTGGGATTGGGCTTTCACTGCTCAGGTGCTTCTAGAAAGGCTAACAGTGCTACTGTTTCATGGGGTGCCCGTCAGAGTCACTCATCAAAATGTGTAGGAATTGTTGAACTGAAAACCAATAAACTTTCATCCATATCATGCTAAAAATTTTAAATAAAAGGACCGGCTGAACCAACTTATGAAACTTTTAAAGAAATGCCCAGACCACCCATAGTCCTGAATTCTCTGAGTCACCTCCACTAGATGGCTGCTTCCTCTGGGACCAGCACCTGGTCTTTCTGAGCATTTATTGAGCACCTCATTGTATGCTACGTTGACCTCATCACTCACTCACTCACTGCCACCAAGTCAATGCGCCCCCTGTGGGTTTCTGAGACTGTACAGGAGTAGACAGCCCAGTCTTTCTCCCGCAGAGCTTCTGTTGGTGGTTTTGAAATGCCAGCTTTGGGGATCGGAGTTCAATGTGTAACCACTACATCACATTGACCTTGAAGGTACAGCAATGAAAATATGAGAAAGTCCCCTCACATCAAGTATCTTTTACCTCAATGACTAGCATGGGGTAAGTCACTCAGGAAATACGAATCGATTTCAGTATTATAACTGAAGCATTTCCTTTTGTTTGTATGAAAATTTAGGAGACCGCCTCCATTTCACCACCTAAGCCGATGGGTAGTTTCAGAATTTCTATTTTAGGCGTTGCCTAAGTCTGTACCTGATGACTGGTGTGATCACTGCCCTAATAAACTTACCATCTCTTCTCTTGCCCTCTGAACATACAATACAGTATGCAGAGCTGCAAGGAGGGTGAGCCTCGGGGAGCTTCA